TTCTTGCTCTCAACGATACTGATATACTAACCATTACAGTACTCGTTATGGAATACTGAAAGTGGGTACTTATAATGCTACATCATGATTACTTTACAACAGGTACAATTATTAAAAGAGGGAAAGTTTTTTTTCTCTCTCTTCAAAAATTAGCTTTCTGGACTTACAAGATCTGAACAGCTTGCTAACAATATGATCACTTTAAATGCATAAAGTTTCTAACTACAAGTCTTTTCTGTGCTACAGTTTAATTTTCATGACTTTATTTAAAAAAGTTTTAGTAAAAGTTTTATTGCAATAGCAACACAAATAGGTCACTTAAGTGCCGAAGATTAGAGGTGTTACAAAAGAGATACATACACAGACAAGAAAGAGGAGAGATCAGGACGACAAATGTTAGATAGGAGAGAAAGAGCAAACCACACCAACACACCTGCCAACCACTCATTACCTTTCTGTGGCGAGCAGATGTGATCTAATGACACTCACAAAAAAGCTCATTACTGAGATTCTAATTATTCATTACAAAACAGCTGGACATAGAAAGGAGAAATTGCTGACATCTCATTGGGAGGAAGACTTTTTTTGGGGGGGGGGGTGAGGTAACAATCTTTACGCCCCCATCGACACAACTTCGATCATTTAGGGGGCATGATTCCAATCCTGCCTGTTAGAGCCAACCTGGGTGGTGAGAATTACAACATCCCAGCAGACAGACAGAGATACAAGTAGAGAGGATGACAACATCCCAGCAGACAGACAGAGATGAGAGACTAATTAAAAAAATATTTTTTTGGTAAGTGTTTTACGGCACTCGCAACTGCATAAGGTCATTTGAGCGTGCGTGAGAGACTAAGAAAATGAAAACATGCCAACAGACAGACGAAGATACAAGCTGAGGGACTAAGAAAATGAAAACATGCCAACAGACAGACGAAGATACAAGTTGTGGGACTAAGAAAATGAAAACATGCCAACAGACAGATGAAGATGCAAGTTGAGAGACTAAGAAAATGAAAACATGCCAACATAACAGATGGAGCAAGGAGCCACGAGAGCCGACTGACGGAGCTACAAGTTGTGAGAGCCGACTGACGGAGCTACAAGTTGTGAGAGCCGACTGACGGAGCTACAAGTTGTGAGAGCCGACTGACGGAGCTACAAGTTGTGAGAGCCGACTGACGGAGCTACAAGTTGTGAGAGCCGACTGACGGAGCTACAAGTTGTGAGAGCCGACTGACGGAGCTACAAGTTGTGAGAGCCGACTGACGGAGCTACAAGTTGTGAGAGCCGACTGACGGAGCTACAAGTTGTGAGAGCCGACTGACGGAGCTACAAGTTGTGAGAGCCGACTGACCTGATGGTGGGGTTTCCCCCGTACAGCACGTACACGCCCGCCTCAGCGTTGGCGTAGATGTCGTTCTTCTTGATGTGGCCACGCCCACTCCCCAGGATCACCACGCCCGACCGCTTGCCGTGGTGGATCTGGTTGAACTAGAGGACCAAGAAAATATATATGTGTTATGACGTGGTGGATCTGGTTGAACTAGAGGCCCAAGAAAATATATATGTGTTATGACGTGGTGGATCTGGTTGAACTAGAGGACAAAGAAAATATACGTATAGACAAAACTGCTCTAACAGCCACCTGTCTAAGACAATCACCTGTACAAAGGACCACCTGTACAAGACAATCACCTGTACAAACGACCACCTGTCTAAGACAATCACCTGTACAAAGGACCACCTGTATAAGACAATCACCTGTACAAACGACCACCTGTAAAAGACAATCACCTGTACAAACAACCGGAAATAGCAGGTCACAAGAGAGTGACAAACATACAAAAGAAGTAGAGGAAAATGACGATAGTAAGAATTAGGAAAGACAAAGCAGCAGTTCCCTGTTGTAGATAAGGCACAGTTATGAGCGTGACATGAATCAGCCCATGTACAATTTTACAGTGCATTAGAACGAGAAATGTACCCCCTTTGGGAATGGCCTAAAGACACTTCAGTCAGTGGCACCGCCCCGGGGGGGTATTTATTATCTTCAAACTTCTTCATTTGTCTTGCTTTTGATGTCAAAAACCCCCCAAAACTTATCAATCTTGGACAGAAGTTGTGACATCTGTGATGGAAGGAGGTACCAGGTGGGTCGCCTGGGGACAGAGGGAAAAGTAGTAACAAAATGACCCGCCAAAGTTTGGTGACTTTCAAAGCTTGAGCGTTCGTGGAAACAGCAAGTTGCTATTTTTTTCAGTGCCTTTGATCAACGTGCTTCGGTAAATCCCACACAGAAATGTGTTTATAAATAGACATAAAGGGTGTTAGAAACGTGTTTATAAATAGACATAAAGAGTGTTAGAAACGTGTTTATAAATAGACATAAAGAGTGTTAGAAACGTGTTTATAAATAGACATAAAGGGTGTTAGAAACGTGTTTATAAATAGACATAAAGAGTGTTAGAAACGTGTTTATAAATAGACATAAAGGGTGTTAGAAACGTGTTTATAAATAGACATAAAGGGTGTTAGAAACATGTTTATAAATAAACATAAAGGGTGTTAGAAACGTGTTTATAAATAGACATAAAGGATGTTAGAAACATGTTTATAAATAGACATAAAGAGTGTTAGAAACGTGTTTATAAATAGACATAAAGAGTGTTAGAAACGTGTTTATAAATAGACATAAAGAGTGTTAGAAACGTGTTTATAAATAGACATGAAGAGTGTTAGAAACGTGTTTATAAATAGACATAAAGGGTGTTAGAAACGTGTTTATAAATAGACATAAAGGATGTTGAGCCCACAAAACAAAATCAGATAAAAGAGCTTTACTGGCAAAAAAATGTTGGTTTCTTTGGTTTCATGATTGTGATAAGTGCCCTGGCCATGCAGGTGTTAGGGAAAATGAAAAAGCCGACAGACTGGCTGGTGAGGCCACCTCAGTTGACAGCACGGTCCAACCAGACAAGGTCGAGATCCTGAAATGTCTCTCTCGCCAGCTGATTGAGGAGGAAGATAGGGAGGCAGAGGCCAGTACTGCCGCGGAGAGGATGATGCTTTTGGGAACACAAAAAGGAAGAGGAAAATCTGGCATCCTTGCAGGAAACAACAGAAGAACGTTCAACTAGATATGTACTGGCACAATCAGTGGAAAGACCCTCTGCAACATTTTGGAGAGAGCAACGGAGCATCAATGGACATGTCCAGAGTGCGGAGATGTTGCTTCCTGAAACAATGAACAATGATAAGTGCCTCCTGACTTCCCCATGACGCCACACACATGATGTGTAGTGTAGAACAAGGGCATGTCGTCTAATCCCAGGAAAATGAACAAATAGGCGCTTCAAAACTATTCACAATCAAACAAATATTGTAAATGAAACAATCAAACAAATATTGTAAATGAAACAATCAAACAAATATTGTAAATGAAACAATCAAACAAATATTGTAAATGAAACAATCAAACAAATATTGTAAATGAAACAATCAAACAAATATTGTAAATGAAACAATCAAACAAATATTGTAAATGAAACAATCAAACAAATATTGTAAATGAAACAATCAAACAAATATTGTAAATGAAACAATCAAACAAATATTGTAAATGAAACAATCAAACAAATATTGTAAATGAAACAATCAAACAAATATTGTAAATGAAACAATCAAACAACTGTCGTACACAAAAATAAACAAAACAAGGGAATAGCTGGACCTACCTGTACTAAGGGGTCAGCGTTCTTCCGAATATCAATCCCGGCCTCATTGTTTGAGTGAATGTCATTTCCTGACGAGACAGAGTCCCCCAAAAATGAGTCAGAAATGCTACTATAGTGCGGTCAAAAATTTGTGGTGCAACTTATCCTCAAATATCTCTTTAACGGGTGAATCAATGTCATCCATACTTTGCACAGCAGTTTGTATCAATTTGTCTTAACTAAATCATACTTTTCTAGAACAATTGGGGCTCGATTAAAAAACTTTTCTTCATAAATTTATATAAAATATTTGAAATTTCTGTCTCGCGTAAAATGGTATTGTTCACAGCACTTCCTGCTTCCCACACACATTTTGATTACGCATATGGCCTACATCACAGCTCATCAAAGACAAATTTTACTTGCAAAACTTGTTAAAAGAAATGATTGTTATAGTGAACACATTTTTACACTAAAGGCTCTCAAAACATGCGTTCAATAAGCATAATGTCACGATTAGAAAAACCTGACGGACTTGCTATTAAAAGCTATATTGCCCCAGCTGTAAACATTTAAACATCTGTAGAAACCACCCACTTGGATTTTTTATTAGCGTTTTTAAGGTATTGTCTAGAATACAGCTTGCAGGTGTTTAAAAAATGTTGATCTGTTAGGACAAATTGATACAGGTCACTGTGCAAAAATCGTAGAACCAATGTTCGATAGTTGAGGAGATATTTGAAAATAAGTCGCACCACGAATTTTTGACAGCACTATAATAGATGCTGTAATAGAGCACATGATGATACTGCAGACAGATTTGTACTTTTGATTCCTCAAATTTACTTTCAAATAAATTTTTTCTACTTAAAAAGCTTGATGAGGTGATTCCAATTGAAAAATCACTTCGTTCAACAGGGAATGAAATTTATAATATTAAATATAGTTAAGCTTTAGTAAGAGTTTTACGACACTTGCAAAACAATAGGTCATAATATAAAGTGCCGAAGATTAGAGGTGTTACAAGAGAGTAAAATACATAAAAAAGAAGGAGGAGAGATAAGAAAGATAGATGTACGATAGGAAAGAAGGAGCAAACCACACCAGAGCACCCGCCAACTACCCACTATTAAATATAAATAGGCCAAATAATACTAATAATAGATCATCATTATGGTGATCAGTATCGTCTATCCCGACATCCGCGTGACGTACCTGCAATAAGGCCTGAGGCTGCCAGTCTCATAAAGATTCCTGACGTTCGGCAGTGGTGGATCTTGTTCTTCAAAATCACAACCTGGATGGGGGGGGGGGGGGGGGCAAAGTGGGGAGGTGAGAGAGGAGAAAAATAATAATATTAATAATAATATTAAACACAACAACAATAAGAAGAAAAATAATAAAAAAAACAACAACAATAACAATAATAATAATATTAATAATAATAACAGTACAAAAAACAACAACAATAATAATAATAATTACAACAATGATAATTGCAGTCAAAGTGCAAGCTCTACGCACTTTACATGGAACTGTCATTACCCTGCAAACCTGAGTGGAACAGTCGTGCCCTGCAAACCCTTAAGTACCCAGAAACATTATCAGGACACATTCTCGGCTTCCCAGGAAGCATACAGTGCAAGCAGATGACTCAGCGCTCAAACACTGACGAACTGACAAGATGGGGGCAGTGTGCTATCAGAGGTCAAATTTGTCAGAAAATGACTTCCAAAGCTCAAGTGTACTTGGAAACTGCAAATCTACATTTCTGTGCCTTTGACAAATGTTTTTCAGTAAAACCCACACAGAAATGTGTCTTTAAATGGACATAAAAGAGCCCCCCAACCCTTAAAAAATTGTAAAATATTGCCTAATCAGAAAGCAAAATGTCATTTTCTTTGATTTCATTATTATGACGAGCGCAGTGCTGCATATTTTATGACCCAAGCAGACCCTAGAACACTCAGAAACATTTTTGGCTCCTTGGAGAGCATACCGTGCATAACACACGGCGCACCGGCAGTGGAAATTTAGTTGCCGCGGGGGGTTCCCCGCCGAGAGCCTTATCACGTTGGGGTCACGGGGGTCAGCTCCCTGTCGCTGCTCCGTCTGGACCGACTTAATTTTCAGTACTTTTCAACGTACAATTGAAGGTGTATCCTTGTATTTATGCTCTTGAGACTCAAAAAAGAACGGACGTTGTAACTTGTCTGGTTATTTCGTTAGACGCACTGAAGTCGGCAATGCTAAATTGTAAATTTTTTTTGACTAGCGCGAATGAAAAAAAATCAATATAAAAAAAGGCCTCGATAAAGTCTGTCGAACTTTTGGAACACGAACGACATAGCATTGGTGCAGATACTCAGAAAAGATGGTATCTGCGCATATAATAGAAAGCTGTAATTTTGCAACTTTATCCATCGGGCATACAATTTTCTATGAAGTGATTCCTCCAAATACAACTTTATGTGTCTAATATAATCGTGAATATTCGCATATTTTCTCGAAAGTTTATAAAAGTTACCTTGAAGTTTCTCTATGAAAAGTACAAATCGATTTTAGTGCCAGAATACACCTTCAATGTAATACACGAACAGTATCCGTTACACTCCAGAAATTCCTTACTTTTCTTAAAACGTTAAGTCTAGGTTTTGTAAGTTGACTGAATAATAAGGATGACTTCTCGTAATTGGGTTATAAGAATAATTTCTTGCTTTCCAGGGACACTGAATCAGCACCAGACTTTTCCAGCTTTTTTTTCGTTTCTATGACCATTTGCAATAACTGACAATGTGACTGATTTCTTTACATTCATAATTGCGTCAGCGCATATTTCCGACACAAAAACTAAGAATGAATGTTTTAGCTGTCATTATTTTTATTCTATACAAGAAGTTCATCTCTGCCCATGTACTAACACACTTTTGTGTTTTTTTTAAATCTCATATCTTTCTTAGTTGTACGCAGGCTGCCACAGACACAGCATGATTCATGAACAAACACAGAGTAACTTTCTCTTGTTTAATAGTAGAACAAGACCTAACGCTGAGTGTCTTTAGTTAAAAATACAGATGTGCATCTTTCTTCTCTTATAACTTGACTATTACTACTACCGCAGATTTAAGATTTCTCACGGTAAAAGACATGATAATCGTAGTCAGTTTAACACAGATTTTGGAGAGATCTGTCATGCCTTTTTTAAATTAACAATCATTTATTCATAAGTTTGTAACTAAAATAGGACAAATTGGGTACTCTACAAACACTTGTCAAGAACAAAAACTAAGGCACAGAAATTAACCATTCTAACGCAGAATAACTCTCAAGACATTGAGCTTTTAGTACATCTGCGTAATGGTTTGCTGTGTGGGATGGGGAAGAAGTTATATCGTTTTAAACATAGTCCAAAATGCGAACTTCCTAACCGACACTGACAAAGTCGCTTCAGGGCTCATTAACCCCGTGACCACGAGCCGGGGAGCTCCGGCGGGCTGCTGAGTCACGCGAACTAAAAGTAACAGAATCGGGCGAAAAGTGACGCCGTGAACAGCATCGATGTCACAGTCACTACAGTTGTAATGACCTTACCAAGGTCACCCTAGATGCTTACCCCTGCGCTCTGTATACAACATACATCATAGTCAAAGTATAACACCATCGATAGGGTAATGACTTAACCAAGGTCACCGTAGACACTCACCCTTGCGTTCTGTATACAGCGTATGTCGTAGTTGAAGTATAACATCATCAATGTGACAGTCACTACCAAGGTCACCATAGATAACCTACTCACCCGTGCGTTCTGTCAACAGCGTAAGCCGTAGTGAGAGCAAAAGTCACCATAAATACTCACCCGTGCCTTCTGTATACAGCGTATGTCACCATAAATACTCATCCTTGCGTTCTGTATACAGCATATGTCACCTTAAATACTCATCCTTGCATTCTGTATACAGCATATGTCACCATAAATACTCATCCTTGCGTTCTGTATACAGCATACGTCACCATAAATACTCATCCTTGCGTTCTGTATACAGCATATGTCACCATAAATACTCATCCTTGCGTTCTGTATACAGCATATGTCACCATAAATACTCACCTGTGTCCTGTATACAGCATATGTCACCATAAATATTCACCTGTGCTCTGTATACAACATATGTCACTATAAATACTCACCTGTGTCCTGTATACAGCATATGTCACCATAAATACCCACCCGTGTGTTCTGTACACCCGTGCGTTCTGTATACAGCATATGTCACCATAAATACCCACCAGTGCGTCCTGTATACAGCATATGTCACCATAAATACCCACCCTTGCATTCTGTATACAGCATATGTCACCATAAATACCCACCCTAGCGTTCTGTATACAGCGTATCCCGTAGCCCACGTTGCTGACGTCACACTCCGACACGATGGCGTGTGCCTGGAGACTGACCATGAGGCCGCCCTTGGAGTGGTTCATGCGGCACTGGTGGATCAGACAGCCCTGGATCTGTCCCACGTACGAGCTGTGGACATATATATATATATATATATATATATATATATATACACACACATTGATAAGGGGTTCATGCGGCACTGGTGGATCAGACAGCCCTGGATCTGTCCCACGTACGAGCTGTGGACATATATATATATATATATATATATATATATACACACACATTGATATGTGGTTCATGCGGCACTGGTGAATCAGACAGCCCTGGATCTGTCCCACGTACGAGCTGAGGGCGGAGAGAGAGATATGTTATACCACATGTGTGTGTGTGTGTGTGTGTGTGTGTGTGTGTGTGTGTGTGTGAGTGTGTGAGTGTGTGTGTGTGTGTGTGTGTGTGTGTGTGTGTGTGAGTGTGTGTGTGTGTGTGTGTGTGTGTGTGAGTGTGTGTGTGTGTGTGTGTGTGTGTGTGTGTGTGTGTGTGTGTGTGTGTGTGTGTGTGTGTGTGTGTGTGTGTGTGTGTGTGTGTGTGTGTGTGTGCGTGGTTCATGCAGCACTGGTGGATCAGACAGCCCTGGATCTGTCCGACGTACAAGCTGTGGGCGGAGAGAGAGGTATGTTATACCACATGTGTGTGTGTGTGTGTGTGTGTGTGTGTGAGAGAGAGAGAGAGAGAGAGAGAGAGAGAGAGAGAGAGAGAGAGAGAGAGAGAGAGAGAGAGAGAGAGAGAGAGAGAGAGAGAGAGAGAGAGAGAGAGAGAGAGAGAGAGAGAGAGAGAGAGAGAGAGAGAGAATTCCAGGGAGGGGGGAGGGAGGTCGGAAGAAGCAGACAAAAGAGTGAGAGGAAACAGCGTTTTTCACAATATATGTGTGAATTGTTGCAAATTCCCTTTAGTTTGGTTGTGAAGAAATGGGAAGTGACACTTGGAGGTGTGCCCTACATTTGGTACCATTCTCCTTATCATCATTATTGTTGTAGCTTTTGCTGTTGTTGTTGTCATTAATATTATTGGTATTATCATTCTTATGTTCATAGGAAGAATATTTGAGGTACTGTGCCAAAATCAGACAATTGTCAAAATGAAAAAATCAAAGTAGGCGACATTTTGGGGGGGTCTTGGGACATTTTTACATTTTCTTTCTTCATTTTTTTTTTTAACTCAGCACCTTTCATGTTCATTTATTTTAAAAACAATTTCTGGATGGATTTTACTTTTTAAAATACTATTGATGAAAGGTACAAATAATGTACATCTACAGTTTCCAAGGACACTCAAGCTTTGGAGTTTGCTTCCCGTGTGCTGAGAAAATTTTATGGTTTCAGTAGAGGTTTTACGGCGCTCGCAACTGCATAAGGTCATATGAGCGCTAGAAAATTAAAGGTGCTGCAAGAGAGTAACAAACATAAAAAGAGAAGGAGGGGAGATAAGGACGATAGATGTTTGATAGGAAAGAAGAAACCAACCACACCAGAGCACCCGCCAACCACTCACTAAATTTGTATCAAATATGGCGGTCTTTCGGCTGCGATGTTGTGTAGATCTATATCTTTCTCAGTCGGAGCTGGCCCGGGCAGGCAGGGTCAGAAGCCCGCCTCCTAAATGATCCAAATTGTGATGATAGAGGCGTAAAACACCTACACTAAAACAAGAAATCATTACCCAGGGTTCCTGCAATGAACACCCCACCAAATTCAAGGAGGTGTCAAGGAGAACTTTTTAAAATTCAAGGAGATTTGATCAAGAAATTCATGCAGTTTTCGACGGTACGCCAAGAGCAAACCGACAAAAATTTTGTTCAGGTCCGATCCGGCCAAATTCAAAAGTTTTCACAGAGGTTCCTCAAATTCAAGGAGATTTTTTTGTTGAATGTAAATTCAAAGAGTTTTCACAGAGGTTCCTCAAATTCAAGGAGATTTTTTTGTTGAATGTAAATTCAAAGAGTTTTCATGGAAGTTCCTCAAATTCAAGAAGGGCCCAGGATTACAAAAACAAACCCAAAACGGAAACAAACCTCATCAAGTTGTCCTCAGAGACGTTGACAGGGACGGGGCGCGTACAGTCGCTGTTGATGGACGTGATCTCCGCTTCCACTCCGCGGGGAGAGGCCGATTGTTCCGGAAGGTCCATGCGGAACTCGCGCAGGTGTGGGAGCATGATGACCGACTCCTCACTGGAGGAGAACTCCTCGTCTGACCCGCTGTCCCGCGTACTGTCCATGTCGCTGCTGTCGGACGTACTGCTTAGACCGTCTGCTGCATCACCTGGGTGGTGGGGGGGAGAGGGGGGGGAGAGGGGGGGGAGAGGGGGGGAGTTGTTGTAGTTGTGGTTGTTAGGCTTTGACGAGGAATCCACAAGGAAAACGCAAAAAAGGAAGACCAAAGATGACATGGAGGCGAGCGGTACAAACGGAAATGGAAAAGGCGGGGACATCAAGGAAACAGCTAGAAAAGGATGCACGGGACAAGCTTCGCTGGAGTAATGTTGTTGATGGCCTGTGCTCCACTGGGAGTTAAAAAGGGCAAGAGAGAGAAGAGAGAGAGAGTTGTAGGTGTTATTGTTGGTGGTGGTGGTGTTTTGTTATTGTTGTTGTTGGTGGTGGTGGTAGTGTTGTTGTTGTTATTGTTGTTGTTGTTGTTGTTGTTGTTGTTGTTGGTGTTGTTGTTGTGGGGGGTTCAAAAGTGGAGTCGTTGAGGTTGTTGTTGTTGTTGGTGGTGGTGTTGTTGTTGTTGTTGTTGGTGTAGTTGTTGGTGTAGTTGTTGTTGATGTAGCTGTTATTGCTGTTATTGTTATTTAGATAATGCTGTTATTGTTATTTAGATGTTGTAGAAGCTGTTACTGCTCTTATACTTATTGTTGTTGCTGTACATGTTGTTGTTGCTGTTGTTCTTACTGTTGACCGTGCTACATTTGTTGTTTATATCAGGAGCAGCAGCGGTGAAGATGTTGCTGTCGTTTTTTATGTAATTCTTATTGTAATTGTGGTTGATACTGCTGTTGTTGATACCACTCTTGCTGTTGCTGTCATGGTAGTTTCAGTTGCTGCACTAAGTAAATGGAACTATTATCATTATCACTATGTACTGCTTTGAGGGTGCCGTGGCGGAGCGGTTAGTGCGCTCGTCTCTGAAGCGGAAAGTCTGGGTTCGATCCTCGGTTCGGACACGGATTTTTTTCGCCCCCTCCTGCCCACCCAGCAGTAATGGATACCTGACTTCGAGTTGGGGAAGTAAAGGCGGCGAGGAAAGGAACTGGCCACCCTACCACAATATGCCGAAGGCCCAGGAATTTATCTCACTAACAAGGCAATCCCCAATGTGCGGATCGGTGGCTGGAACAACTTTAGTTTTTACTACTTTGAAATGCTATGTATGGTCAACCCTTCTATATGGCTGTGAGTGCAGGACAATCACAACAGACTGAAAATAAAATAGAAGCAACAGAAATTTGGTTTCTTAGGAGACTTCTGAAAGTATTGTGGAAGGAAAAGAAATCAAACGAGGTAGTGTATAGTGCTTGATGAAGCCCACGTGGGACGCTCAATGTTAAAAACAATCAAGAAACGACAAATGCTGTTTTTGGGACACCTGGATAGACATAAAGGTCTTGAACATCTAGCTCTCAGTGGCAAAACTGAAGGCAAGCGAGGCAGAGGTAGGCCCAGAACAACCTACTTAGGGAACCTAAACCAATGGGTAATGGGGTAAAGATCAGGGAAACGTAGCTTTTTTAAGAACATCTGAGCAAAGGAATGAATGGAGAACCATGATCTCCAATATCTGTCGCAGATCTGGCACTGGATGATGATGATGATGATGATGATGTACATGTTCCTGAAGAAGCCCTTTACCGGGCGAAACGTTGAACAAACTGTGTATAATACATATTTTCTGGAAATACAACAAGGTCTTAACTGTTTTAATACCTTCTTAATACAATGATGATGATGATGATGATGATGATGATGATGATGATGATGTATTGCTTCAAGTGGACATAACATAAACGTACCAACTAGCTTTCCATAAACCAGAGAACACGTGGACTTACTGTGTACGCTGTCTGATGCGACAGAACCGTCCGGCTCATCCAGAATACACAGGTCATCGTCCGACTCTGACAGCACCAACAACAACAATAAGACTACCATCACCACCACCACCACCACCAACAACAACAACACCACCACCACCACCCCCAACAACAACAACAACAACACTACCACCACCACCAAACAGCAACAGCAACTACAACAACACCTACAACAACTTACTGTGTACAGCGTCTGAAGCGACAGAACCCTCCAGCTCATCCAGAATAGACAGGTCATCATCCGACTCTGACAGCACCTCCTCACTCTGCGACCGCCGCAGGGGAAGTGGCTGCGCCCCGTGGTTCGCCTGGGGGTGGGCGTGGTTCACCTGGGGGTGGGCGTGGTACGCCTGGGGGTGGGCGTGGTTCGGGAGGGGGTTGTCCCTGTGGTTCGGCTGAGGGTGCGCGTGGTTCGGCTGAGGGTTGTCTCTGTGGTTCGACAAACCGTTCCTGTCCCGGCTGTGCGACGGTTGTTGCTGCTGTTGTTGTTGTCGGCTGTTACCGTGGTGACCAGAGTGACAACCCCTGGCCCCTGACTCCTCCTTAGCGCCGATGTCCACCTGAGCCATCCCTCGAGCATTGTCCATCCCGCTCTCCTCTCTCTCCTCAAACGCTGGCAACCCTCCACTGACCACAGCCGGAGCCGCCACTCGGAGACGAGAAGGGCCCGCCGAATGTCCGTCATGGCCGCCCCCCGACACTTTGGAACCGTCGCTACCGCTGAAGCCGCGGTTGTTGTCTGTCTTTGAGGGGACGTCACGGCTTGAGTCGTTCAAAGTTCTCGCCATAGTTTGTTCTTTCTGTTCTCTCCCGCTGTGGCTTCCACCAACCTCTTGTACTACATCTCTCTCAGCTTTCTGGGAACTGCCACTCACCGAGCTGACCTTATCCTGTGTATTTTCAAGGTCGACTAAAACGTTTTCGCTCCCTGGGGATAACTTGAGCGGGGCTGACACAGACGAACCACGTGTCGCTGCTGACAACTCTGGGCCAGTGTGCTCGTCAAGCTTCACGCCCTCTGACCTACTTTCCACGTCCGAGGCGTCACACATTCGAAACTCAAACAAACTGGTGCTGGTAGCGCTGCTCAGAGACCCAGATTTTCTTTTCTTTCGGAAACATTGAGCAGAACGCGGCCCACGACTCGACGAACTAGTGGGAAGGGGTGGGGGGTCGTGGTTGACCGCTGCGTGTTTCATCGTAGCTGGCGTGGGGGCGGGAGAAACACCTTCCTTCGAGGAGTCTTGTGTCAACTCTCGCAGCATGTAACAACTCTCAGAACCTTTCTCTCCCTCCGTTAAAGTCAAAGGACACGGTTTACTTCTGTGAGAATCTTCGTTAATCTTTTCACCAGAGTCAGTCGGGTTCAATCCGAGGTTTGGATGACAGACGTCGGAATCACGCTGAAACTTTCCGTGACTGTCTGGGCTTTTCTGAGGTCCTGTCTTGTTGAGGGAAGACACTTGCTCCACATCCGACCCAGCCTCCATCCTGGGCACAACTTTCTCTTCCGCAGCTGTCCTGGCCATATCATCTTTCCTATCACAGTATACATTCTCGTTAGCGCCGGAAGTGAAATGCTCTTTTGTGCCTGAAGTGGAAAGCTCTTTTGCGCCTGAAGTGGAAACGGCGATATTGTTGGGGATGAAAACCTCGCTTCTTTCTTCCTCGAGCTGCTGTAGAGAACAAGAGCCCAGCGACTTTCTGCGGAAATTATTCCTTATGTGCTTGTGAACGTGAACAACAGAGCTGTCTTTTTCCCATTCCTGAGGCCCTCCTCCGCGCTTGGAATGAATCTCCGGCTCATCTGGAAGTGGTAACGAGTCTCTCGAACTTTGCCGCTGAGCTCTGGTTTTTGACTTGGGAAGCGAGAGTCCTGAGGCGGAGTCGAGAGCAGCTTCGGTGGTGCCGAGATCCGAGACGTTGCTGAGAGTGAGGCTGTTGTCTCTCCGCAGTTTGGGCTTCCCTCCCTGCACGCTGACGCTGTCCTCCCCGGCCGGCTCCTCGTACATGCTCTGTAGATCCCCACATCCGACAGAACTGTCCTTCTCCGAGTTGCCATAATGTCCGTTCAGGAAGTGAGGGTTGAGAAAAGTGGCGCCGGGGTCATCGAAGCTAACACTCGGGTCCCGCGACACCGAATCGTAAACCTGGTTGGACACAGCGGTCCCCATGGACTTCCCCGTGAAAGACGAATGTAAGGTCGAGGTCATGCTCGTGGTGGCCTTGAGCCCGTGCTTTTTGCGGTGCAGCGAGCGTTTCTGGTGGTAGATGGCGCTGGTGCGCTCGCGGAGGAAGGAGTACGTCCAGTTGCGCTCATCCTTCGGGTGCCCCTCGACGATGATGTTTGCGCTGTCGCTCTGGGAGAACTCGCAGTTCTCGATGACGCTGGCGTTCATGTGCTGCAGGATGACGGTGGCGTGGCGGAACGTGCAGAACTTGATGTGTACCGTGCTCGGGTTCTGTGCACACACCATCCCGTCCTCCAGGATGCAGTTGTCCATCTGCAGGTAGCCCGAGCTGATCTGTGGGGGAAACACAACAGAGTTTTACAGCTTTAACAACACAATCAGATCACACCAGAGCTCAACATTAGAGGTGTTACTATATTTTTATTTTTTTCGTAAAATTTTTACGGCAACACAATAAGGTCCTATAAGTGCCGAAAATTAGAGGTTTTACAAGTGAATAACAAACACAAAAAAGAAGGAGGGGAGATAAAGACGATAGATGTTTGATAGGAAAGAAGGTGCAAACCACACCAGAGAACCTACCAATCACCCACTTACTTGAGAACAATTTACCAAGAAAAGACACAGAGAGATGAGCGCAATATAGATGTTTGACAGAGAAGTGCAATATAGATGTTTGACAGAGAGAGATAAGTGCAATATAGATGTTTGACCGAGAGAAACCACATAAGAGCACCCACCAACCACCCACACTTTTTATTATATTCACGTCATATTGTCCATTTCTAAAATGAAAAGCATTTCTTGGCAAGAAAACCAGTCAGAAAGACAGAAATAGATGAGAGACGCGGAGTAAAGACGACTACTGAGATATTGCAGTTATGTCTAGATGTCTGGAACCAGTTCTACGACCGGTGCTAACATAAACGTGAGGCAGCGTGGTGAAATCAGGCGCTCGTCAAAGTATTGAAATTCAAGAAACAGGCATTTTTCCGCCATGTTTGGCAATTTTTATAGAATTTCTGTTTTTGTGTTCAACACCTTTTATGTCATTGTAAAAACACATTTCCACGTGAAGTTTATTGAAAAACTTCGTTTATAGGCCCAAAATATGTAAATTTTCATTTTTCAAGGACTCTCAAGCTATTGAAGTTATCAAACTTTTGTTTTTGTTTTTTGTTTTAGTACGGGGTTTTACGGCACTCGCAACTGCATAAGGTCATATCAGCGCGCGAAACACAAGTTAGTTTTTTTTACGGCACGGCTGTGTACGGGTTATTTGATCCTAAACGTTCAAATATTAAAAATAGATATATAATTTCAGACTAAAACAACTTTCATAAAAAATTTTAATAATTCAATTTTGTTCTATACTACAATCTTCCATAAAGGCCAATGGTCGTTATCAAACTTTGGTTGCCATTTTCTCGTTAATGTTACCTCTGAAACCAGGAGACCTTCGCCTCCTTTATTCACAAATATCTCGACTTTTCTTCAAGACAGATGAGTATTTTTTTCATATAAAGCAAGGCAAATGAACACGCTTTTAGATGATACCAATAACTCCCCATGCCCAAATATTGATGAGCGCCTGATTCCACCACGTCATGACACGACTGTGTGTCAATGTAGAGAAATCAAGAGCTTTAAAAGAATGCAATAAGAGAAACCAATTTTTTTTTTCCGCCCACTGAGGGATGGTCGGATTTTTCTATTTTTGTCTCAATACCCACTTCAAAAACATATTTCTACATGGATTCTACTTAAAAACATTGATCAAAGACACAATAAATGTAAACTCGCAGTTTCAGAGGAAGTCATCACATTTTGGCCGCAATTCACTTGCAAATTTGACCTCTAATACCAGGCAACCCCTGTCTCCTTCAATCACAAAATTTTCCAAGATAGGTGGGTATTTCTTTTTCCCAAAAGCAAGACAAACAAACAAAGTTTACGATGGTACCAAAAACTTTATACACCCAAAAATGCTGTGACACAAATATTAAAAGCAGATTTTAACCCTATCCGTATGCCCTGGGGTCATTTTGTACCCCCGGGGTTGTATTCTTTTACATTTTAGAATACTTCTAGCGCAAAGGTCTCTTTGAAACATTCTGTATTTCTCAAAAAATCATTTCGACAGACTGCTATGCAAAGCGTACGGATCGGATTTACGAGTAAATTTTCTCTTTGAAAAGTGGTGACACAGAGTTCCCCACGTCGTATGGATACAATAGTAAAACACAACGTACAGATAGGGTTAAATACTCATAGGAAGACAAGGAAACTACTTAAACGGATCGGGGATTCATTATTCACCATGACGATAAAGCTGGTGAACCAGGGAGCGCGGAGCACCAGGTTGCTGAGACGAGCGGCCCGCGACAGCTGCTGTATGCCCACCACCAGGATCACGCTGCCCAGCTCCCCGTGGCCCACCAGCTCAAACGGGATCTTGGACGAGATCTCAAACAACTCGTCGTAGATCCCGGGGTGCACCACGATGCGGTCGTAGTCGTTGGCGACCGACAGGGCGGACCGCAGAGACTCGTGGTCCAGGCCCGGCCCCACGTGGATGTTCTTCTGGAAGTTGTTCCTCTTGAAGAACCCGGTACAGGCAGTGCCTTTGGCCTCCATCTTCTGCCGGCGAGACCAGAACTTGGTGGAGATGTGCTGGTCGCGGTATGCCAGGCGCCACGAGGGCGGCTCTGCCTGCGTGTTGAGTGGCCAGAAGGGATGACGCCACTCCCTGCAACAGGAGAAGAGAGTTTTTGTTTTAGTAGAGGTTTTACATTGGACACACGATGCGGAAAAAAGCGTTGGAGAATATTGTAACAACAGGCAAGATTGATGGAAAGAGAGGCAGAGGCAGACAGAGGGAAAAGATAGTTTTAGTTTTAGTTTTAGTAGAGGTTTTACAGCACTCGCAACTGCATAAAGTCATATGAGCGCCAGGGAAAAGATACTGGACAAGTCAACAACATGGCTGGGAACAGAAAGAACAAAAGACACCATCGCTGCAATGCAGGACAGAGGGAAATGGAGGTCCATGATCGCCCACGTAGTCGGTAATGCACCGGTGATGATGAAAGTTTTACGGTGCTCGCAACTGCATAAGGTCATATGAGCGCCAAGGGGTGGATGTCAACAGAGAAGTCCTTACAAGGAATCAGACTTACTCTGCTCACCTCTCTAGCCTCAACAGCACAAAGTCTGCTTCAACTATCAAGGCACCCCGGAAATAGCAGTTCACAAGAGAGTGACAAACATACAAAAGAAGTAGAGGGAAAAATGACGATAGTAAGGATGAGGAAAGAAAACGCAGCAGTTCTCCCTATGTTGTTCCGGCACAGTATGAGTATGACGTTGATAAATCAGCCCATTTACAATTCTACAGATCATAAGAACATGTTAATGTCCCCCCTTTGGGAATGGCCTCAAGACAGCTTCAGTCAGTCGCACTGCCCGGGGGGGGGGGGGGGGGGGGATGGAGAAGAGTGGGATGCATTGTCTAGATGAGCAGCTGATTTCACCACGATGACACACATAGCAATTCACTTTTCATAAAAACATATAATACAATACAGAAACTATGTCAAACGAATTAAGTAAAAAAGAAAAATTGATATGCAGTGAACATTGCCTAAGCCAGTCACCCATTGCTGAGGTGAAAAGTGGGGGTCTTAGACAGGTGGCCATCTTACACACAGTCATTACAATGTTAAAAATATGCCACGGAGGAAATAGGAAACGGGCGTTTGTACGGGTGATTGCCTTACACAAAAGACCACTGTAGCAGGCCTCACTGTATCTGACTCACCTGCAGGCCTCACTGTATCTGACTCACCTGCAGGCCTCACTGTACCTGACTCACCTGCAGGCCTCTCTGTATCTGACTCACCTGTAGGCCTCACTGTATCTGACTCACCTGCAGGCCTCACTGTATCTGACTCACCTGACTCACCTGCAGGCCTCACTGTACCTGACTCACCTGCAGGCCTCACTGTACCTGACTCACCTGCAGGCCTCACTGTATCTGACTCACCTGCAGGCCTCACTGTATCTGACTCACCTGTAGGCCTCACTGTATCTGACTCACCTGACTCACCTGCAGGCCTCACTGTATCTGACTCACCTGTAGGCCTCACTGTACCTGACTCACCTGCAGGCCTCACTGTATCTGACTCACTTGTAGGCCTCACTGTATCTGACTCACCTGCAGGCCATATAGAGCTCCTTCCATCGTGTGGCGTCGATGCTGCTCACAAGCTCGCTCCACGTTTTGCAGACGCAGGCCACACGACAAAGGTCGCCAGTAGACAGCCAGGACAGGATCATCTGCCAGATTTCCCATGGCAGGCCCGTCTTGTCCGCAGGCAGAACCTACCACGTTGGACGAGGCACACATGCACACAAAGATAACACACACATGCACAAAAAAGATCACAAATGTTATACTAAAAATAATAAAATTATCAAGTATGTTACACTTATGATACAACTATTTCTAAATCTCATGCTCACATAAAATAAACTTCCAAATTCCAAGGACAAAATATGAGTAGCGTTCATCAAGTCTTTACACTAACACTAACTATGAAAGAGGCATGCAAGAACATTTAAATTTGACAATCACAATGCTGCTTCTCTGCAAAGTCACCCTGCAAATTGACACAGTTTTGACATCTTTGTCTGACCTTCGTTTTAGTTTTAGTTTTAGTAGAGGTTTTACAGTGCTCGCAACTAACGGCATAAGGTCATATGAGCGCCAGAAGATTAGAGGAGTTACAAGAGAGAAACAAACATAAAAAAAGAAAAATGGGAGAAAAGGATGACAGATGTTTGATAGGAAAGAAGGAGCAAACCACACCAGAGCACCCGCCAACGACCCACTGTCTGACCTTTGTAAGTTCTTCGGCATAAACGACTTTGGACAGGACTCAAACTATTGCTCCATCGCAGATCCAGCATCTCATCATAAAGGAAATGCCCCCCTCGAGAACTTTTTTCAGCAGAGGGTGGATAGGGAAGGTGTGGGAGAATTTAGCAGACACACTGCTTTACTGTAGTGTTGCCTTCACGGCTCTGTGCATCGGAGCATAGTGCAGCAGGAGATGTTATCTTTAGGTAGTAAAGAGCTATCATTTTCACTGCACATCTTCTCAAGTTGTCACCACTCATTGGATTTCCCCCAAATTTTACATGCAACAGATTAGAAAAACAGAAATCACATTCTCCAATGTTGTTTGTGGCAAGACAATCCTTCATTCTCAGAGAAAAGACTTATTAAAGATTTAGGTGTAGGCCTCCGCAGCTCAGGATGAGTTAAAAAACCCTGTATGTATGTATAGTATAAGGTTTTACGGCGCTCGCAACTGCTAAGGTCATATGAGCGCGCGAAACACAAGTTGTTCACCTCTGCGAAAGTTCACTTCACGACTGGCTAACTAATTTACTTTAAAATGCTAAAAAGTTAAAATATTCAAATTCGGTGTAAATACATTTGTGATCTAAAACAACTTTTAAGTAACAATAAAAATTTTTAATAATATCAAATTCACTCTACAACTCGCCATAAAGGCCAATGGCCTTTATAAAATTTAAAATTCTGCTGGGAACAACGACGGACCCTGAGTGCAGGGTAAGATAGAAGAGCACATCAGTGTAGACCTACACAGTTCCTTTGCTCAAAACAGTAGATCTAGTCACTTTTCAATAACAGGGTTCTAGGGGACTATAACAAATCAAAGAGTCCTCTCAAGTGAAACGTGCATTTTCCTCACCCTTGCCACTACTGTTGCTACCCACAAAACAAGCAATATATTACAAAGAATAATTCAATTGAATTTAAAGCCCTCCATTCAAGTGGTAAACAGACGTACCTTGTTCTCAATCAGATCAGCGGAGACAGTGGACATGCTGTTGGAACTTTTCTGCTCCGCACTCGGGGAACATCCTCAGAACAGGAAATCTCAAACTTGAAAATTGAAACATAGAAATTAAAATTAAAATGTTTATTTCTCTACGGAATTTCCAGTATACCACAAACACTCTCCTGACTTCAAAATCACTCCCTTGGGCAACCTAGCAGCTCATTTCAAATTACCATTCTTTGCTCTTAATATTAATAACAATAATAGATATAGCATTTGTTTAGCGCATATCCCCGCTCAACAGTAGGCTCTATGTGCTTTACACTATATTATTACCCCAGCAGACCATAGAACACTACGAAACATTCTCAGCTTCCCGGGAAGCATACAGTGCAAGCAGCTGATTAAGCGCTCAAACACTAACAAACTGACAAGATCTTTTGCTGTCTATACCCGGGTACCCATTCCCACCCGGGTGAAGTGAGGAAAATTCGTATAAAGTGCCTTTCCCAAGGACACAACGTCAGGCCCCAGACAGGATTCGAACCCATGACCTTATGGTTTCGAGTCCGAGAGCCTAACCATTAGGCCACAGACGCCACTTCTTAGCCGTACATCTTCAAAAACAAAAAAACAAAAAAAACGACTCTGTTCATACTGCGAGAGAAGATGACGGGCACTGGACAAGTAACCCCCACCAAACCCACCACATACAATTTTTCTTCAGAATCAGCAACAGTTCTTAAGGAACAGTACAGAAATCAGAGCATACGTATTTTCCAAAGCAAAAACAAACTGAATTCCATGCTGAACCTAAAAGAAATCATATTAAAAGCGTAGGGGTTGGCAGGTATTTAATGTTCATTAGACTTTGGAGCATTTTGACAAATTATCAAGAAAGCAGAAGGTGAAAAAGAAAAAAAACCAACACAAACCCATGAAAGATTTTTATTTACAAAAAGCAAAATGACAACAAACAAATCAAAACTGAAAATAGCCTTAGATACCAATTCAATACAACTAAAAAAGTCTTTTATAATGATCGTGGTAATTCCAATGGGAGAAAAAAAAATGTTTAAACTGATCTGCCCTGGTATATACTGCTTTCTCTGTGTCTGTTCAACAACTTCAATCAGGGCCTGGAACAGAAGAGACCAAGTTCAAAGCAATGCCGATAGCCAACAATGTTCATCCGGGGCTTTGCCGACTGGCGTGGGCGATCATGGACCTCCACTTCACTCTGTCTTGCGCTGTTTATTGAAATGTTATGATCCATGATGTTCTTGGGAAAGGACACAGCAGTGGTTTCCCCTTGCCTTCGGCTGGATTTTTGTACGGTTTACTCCGCCAGCCTTTGTTCAAAAGGACTAACCCACAAGGCAGTGGGGGCAGGTGGCAGGTTTCGGCGTCTCCCTCTCGCCTGACAGTCTCTTTACTGAGCACATGAAGCATTTTATAGAGACAGGATTGCCACCACCCTGTCCCACCTCGCTCTCCAAGACTGTCGCCAGTTGGTCCGCGACTGCTTATTGGTTATTGGCAGCTACCCTACATAATGTAGGCCGTTCTACTATCCGCCACCTGTGGACGCCACGGGTCGAGGATGGTCGCCCCAGCTCAATACTTTAAACGAGAAATAGTTATCGGACTGGGCAGGGTACACAACAAGTCAATCGTGCAAGACTTGCCGACTCAAAAACAATTTACGTGTTTGTTTTCTTCGACGAGTGCGGTGATCACCCCCGACCCGACACAATCCCATCCACAAATGGGCACCCGGTACTAGAGCTGCACCCATTCGACTTTACTATTTGACATTCAGGATTTTTGCACTATTCAGAGTTATTCGAAGCATTAAGATAAATATACAGAAACACTTTTTATTTGAAGGTTACGAGACAGAGTGATAAGAGGAGCCTACAAGAGTTATTTATAAAACAATCCTTTAGAGAATATAATCTCTTACTATTCAATATTCACTCATCACACTATGGACAGCTCAACAAGGGCACTTGACTCTAGAAGCGCAGCGAATGTCTTTTCCATGAAATTAGCTGTCGCAATGAGCTCCCCTAACCCTACTCGAAATTCTATGTATGATGCTATTTCGTTAGTTTCATTTCTCATAAAAGGCCGGCACTATTTCTCCGAACGTTCGGGAAAATAAAGCTGGGCACTATTTCTCCGAACACTCTGAAATCACATCCTTTCCCGCATATTTCGGATAATAAAAATAAAATATAGATCTATAATTATATTATAGGCCTACCAAAGATTGTTCGTATACAATATGGTTCAATCAGTCCAAAAAATGTCCGTATTTATATAAAGAAATGCTACAGTTCCAAACGGTTTTTCGCTACAGATATGACGTGTTGCCTATGAAGGATGCTGCTCTTAAACTTAATGTGTTGCGTTCACTCGTGTGCTGTCTAAATCTAGATCTATGGAGGGTTATTGATAACGGCACATAGAGCTAGCATCTGCGTTTGTCGAGGCCGCGACCAATCAATCGTGGCTCGATTTAAAAGTCAAAGAAGAAAAAAAAACAAAAAACCCCCCAAAAAACTAACCTCTTTACTTTTGAAAGAAAGTTCACTTAGCTTCACTTCGTCTCTTTCCCACTTGTTGTCACCACGTTGATTTGTTGAATACTTTACAGTTACATACGATTTGTATTGTTGTTCCTTTTTTATTTTTCGTTTATTTTTCCCTCTTTGTGGTGTTATATTTTGTTGGTCACGGCGTACAGACAGCGCTCTTTTAGTTGGATCGGCGATGGAGTGACCGGGTCACGGCGGGCCGGTCACCCAGAGGTCACTAA